TTGACCAAGGGTAGTTGGGCCCATTAAAAGAGAAAGGCCTTTAGGCCTTATTTGCAGAGTTTGGACTTAAGGATTTTGGGCCCATGAGTTGGTGTATATCATAATTCTAATTAGGGTAAATTGTATATTTATAGTGTGAGATTTCCAGACCGATAGCCGATCAGGTATTATTTATCAGCAGTTTGAGATGAGTCTGCTCGCTATATCAATGGGTCGAAGGCACCAATGCTGACCCATTACTTGACACGTGGATTGCTAGTTGTTTCTGTATTTAATTGTCTAATGAACCACGAGGTAGCCCATGGCACTTGTATGAAGACCTTGGGGGTAGCCCACGACATGGAAGACCATGGGGGTAACCCATGGCACTTGGATATCAGACCATAGGGGTAGCCCATTGCATTCCAGGTAAAGACCATGGAAGTAGTCCATGACAACTATATGTATGTCACATGGTTTTCTATGGTTGTATGTTATGTGATATTTTGGGAACTCACTAAGCGTTTGCTTACAGTTTATTTAGGTGTTTTCAGGTACTTTTGGTACTAAAGGGAAGGGCCCGACTTGATAGTGCCACATTCACTCTCTAGCATTTTCCGCAATTATTGATATTGATACTCTGATATTTTGACATGATATGATGTAATGGATTTTTGGAAACAAATGATGATTGTAATTCCTATTTTAAAAATGAAAAGTTTTATTTGGTTTTTGGGCTGTTACACGTTTGGTTATAACTTATCATGAGAGAAGAAGGAAGAAGAAAGAAGATGAAATCATTAAAGGAATTCTTCTTGATGAATGCAAATATTGTATCAATGTGCTTGCACTTTACCCGAATGTTCAGGATGTTCAAGACTAGAGGATTCAATGCGATTCTCATGAAGTTGTGAAAGTTTTTTTTTTGTTCATTTAGTGTTTAAACCAATGATTATTTGTATTTTTGTGATTCATTTGAAGGAATGGTGCCTTATAGAAAGCCTTTAATCCAAGAAATTCAAATGTATCAACCTCCAAAGGATATTATTCAAAATTGCAAAGTTGAAGTTGTAAAGAATGAGTTTGTATTTGGATTCAAAAATTCTAGATCCAAAAAGTTGAAGAAGAAGAAGAAGAAAAGCAAAACCAAGAAAATTTTGGTTTCTAAGAAAAATTCTTCAAATGTTGTTTTGATGTCGAAATCAGTGAAGAAAATTTGGATTCCTAAGAAACAATCATCAAATGTTTCTATGGTATCGGATTTCAAATCCAAATTGTTGAAGATTCTCAAATTCAACATGATGATGAAGTTAAATCTTGAAAAAAATGAGATGAAGCTTCATGGGTGGCACAATGTGCAATTTGGAAATTTCATAGTTTCATCCAAAGAAACTAGAAGTTCATATCATTCTCAAGGATATGAAGTTGTATCTCCCATGTTTGTTTTGTGCATTACAAGTGGGAAAAAGATTTTCAAGGAATTCTCACAAATTTTCAAATGGATTCTAAAGAGATCTCGAAGATTATTGTTCATTCAAAAATCATATTTTGTTACTGATCATTGATCTAACGATTTTAGCCCAATCCACTTCATTCAATTGGTTACTGTTCATCAAAAGCCTAATCCAAAGTAAATATCGATATTGTTCATCGATCCAAGTTTAAGCCCAAATATTCATATGTTACCGTTCATCATCTGATTTTGAAGCCTAAAACTGATTTCACTACTGTTCATGATCGATGTTCAAAGTTTACACTCAAAAAGTCAAAATCGAATGATTTTCAAAATTACAAAGCCTTGAGTTCGATACACTGGAAGTGCATTTGTTGGCTTTCGAAATTGTTCTTTCGTTTAGGTCTCATATTTTGAGCAATCCGGTCTTGCAATTGAAGATTGGGACAGATCGTTCTCATAACAACTTCATAATATGAAATAAATTTTGCATTGATTATTTGTCTTGACAATTGGAAACAAAGAAAGATATTTGAATGTTGAATGAAGAATCAATCTGGAAAAGTCCAATTTTTAAATCCGATGTTTGAAGAAATCGTGTTGACTAATATGATATTCGAATGTTTGATTCTCAATTGCGAAGCAGATTATTGATTAATCATTGAGAAGGAATGATTGAGAAGGCAAAGAGAAGAATTTTAGATTCTATATTGGACATGGAAATCGAAACTTTGGTATACATTACTGATGATTCGAGTCGGTGTTGCTGGAAAGCGGAATGGAATTGATTTTGGTTTGATTTCGATCTATAGAAATTGTCGATGGATTTCAATGTCTGAGGTGTTTGAGAGTTTGATTGGAATGATGTTAATTACATTGGATTTAAATTCGTCAATAGTCTTCAAAAGTGAGTAATCTGAAAACGAAGATGGAAGTTTTTGGGAAGTTGACGGGGATTTTTGCATCTGGATATTGAGTTTTCAGTTTTGATTCTCGCCACTCGATCTGGTTTTTTGATAGACGAAAGTTGAGGTCTAACATCAAAACAGGACTGGCACCAAAAGGTAACCATCGATTTAGTAATAATCGAAGGTTTTGCAGTCAAAAGTTTTAAATGTCAAATGCAACTGTGGAATCAAAAAGTTGAAGGATCGTGTTGATGTCGAAAGTTTGACTGTGAAGTCAAGCTTGATAATCAAAAGAAAAGTCTTGACTTGACTGGAATCGACTTGGAGAAGGTTTGGAATCGAATGTTAAAATTCTATAGTTTGAAGAATTGAAAGTGATAGTATAATCGATAGCGAAATTAGTTTGATAGTCAAAAGCTAAATTGAATTGAATGGTCGAATGTACGGAATTGAAAGTTCAAGATTGGAATCGAGACTTGCCTGAGAGACAAAAGCATGGCTTCGAATGTTATGGAAACTGGGTTGGAGTCGAAAGTCGATTCGAGTCGAGAGTAAGGACTTTCAATTGTTGATGTTGTATGTGTTCAATGGACTTGGGGAAGAAGAAGTTAGAAAGTTTCGCATATGGTCTCTCAACTTTCAGTGTTTTGACAACTTATACCTACTTTCGAATAAGGGGTATATTTATGTGAAGTGGGAAGTTTTTTTGTTATCGATCCCTAAAGTTTATGCGAAAATGCACTTTATACCCACTTTTGCAAACGGGGTAAAGTTTTGCATCTGGAATGAATTGGGAAGTTGATTTTTCTCAATTGGTCTCTGAAGTACTTACGAAAATGGTTGTTTGTACCTAATTTTGGAATTTCTTTCAATTCTCACCCAAAAGTCGAAATCTTTTCAACCTTTGAAGATTTTCTCTCGCCTTTTCGTGAATGTTTTTGGTGTAATATTTTCGTGGTTTATGACTAATGTTTGTTCTTTTTCAAGTTCGGGAAGTCAAAGATTTGAAGACATTGGCGTATTTTTTGGATTTTCTTGGATTGAAGAGTTTCATTTTTGTCACACATCGATGGGGAGTTTCTATGGTTTATTCCTTGAACGTTTCTCATAACCTTTTGGGTTTTATAATCATTTGTTGATTATAAAAAGGAGGAGAAATTTGAAATGGGTATTCAAAATCTTTGTTCAAAGCAGATTTGAAACTGGTGTTACTTCGAATGGGAGTTGGTCTTGATTGTTTGGTGCTCGTTTCTATATTAAAGTCGAGACATCTAATCCTAACTTTGAAGTGGAGAATGTTAGGGTGAAAAAATATACTTGGATGTTATGTAGGCTTACCTTCTTTAAGATGTTTAATGGGTTGAGATTTTCCTACAAAATAGGAAGTGAGTAGCTCCTATTTATATAAGAATCCATATGAGTGATTAATCTAGTAAGTGAAATATTGTATGACACACTTTGTAGGACTTTCTAAACTAGTAATTAGAGCTTAAACAATTTTATTTACTTCTTATGTTCTTGATAAGATTTGATTCATATAACTATTACATTTCCGCATTGTCATCATTTGTGGGATTTACACAATTCTAATTCCAAAATCTTTTAGAAATATTTTAAGAAAGAACCAACATCTAAGAATTTTGGTTATTTTTTTTTTTTAAATCTCTCATCGTTCCAACTTCAAAATTATATTACACTTCATTTTTTGTCTCATAAAATAGAAAACCTGTCGTTATCTTGGGTAATCTTTATGATATTGGTATGTGCTTTCAAGGGTTCAACTTTATTTAGATATAAAAGTAGTTGCGATTTTGAGCCATATTTACAGAAATAATATATAGTTTTGTAATAAAATAAATTCTTTAATTGACATATCAAAAACATGTAACTTTTTCAATATCGTTCAAAAGAAACACTCTAGTTGACTAGTTGATTTTTTAATTTGATGTATTAAATTTTATTAATAAGTGATATATTATTTATTATCACAACTGTGCCATTAGAATAATAGTCTGATTTTCTTGATAAAAGAATTAAAAATATTCAAAATTTTGTGAACACTTGGGGCAACCACCCGTTATGTTAATTTCTAGCTCAATTTCAAATTATATCCATTTTGACATGGTGCAAGCAAAATATATAAAGTGTTATGTTTAACATATTTGGTAAAATTTTGTTTCGTTTTCGTAACGCCATGCATGCGACTGCAACACACTCATAATATTTAAGTCTATACCGTTTTAGAAAACAACAGTTTCTTTTCAAATTCGGTTTTATCATGTATTTAATGTAAATACATATTGGTTTTACATATTTTACCATTTAATATTAGACAACAAGCATGGATTTATGTAATGCATCGCCACCATGTCGACAAATCCAATTTACAGAATATACATATTGCCGTCTTATATCTTGTAATTTGGCCACCAAAGCAATTGATACCAAATTTATATATTCTAACGAATTCGTCGCTTACAAACACCTTTTTTTCTATTATAAGAAATTAAGACCAAACATATAACAACCATTTCCGAATTGATGGGATTGTTTACACGAATGTTTCTTATTTATTTCCCAGTATGATCTAACATTTGAAGATCTGAAATTAATTTATGACAGTCAATAAATCATGTTTATTTCTCATAGTGATAGCAGGGATGGAGAGGTTCGTCTTCAAAGGATTAGCATGCAATTTGGTGACGTATTTGACGGATGTAATGAAGATGAGCAATTCTTCGGCGGCTAGAACTGTCAGTATTTGGTCTGGTGTTACGTCGATGTTGCCCTTAGTGGTGGCACCCTTGGTGGACTCTTATTGGGATCACTATTCCACGATCTTAGCATCATCACTCTTGTACTTTCTGGTATATCAAAACAACTTATATCTAATTACACTTTAACTGATAAAGTAACATTTTCTAATCTATGTTATTTATCGTATATAGGGGCTTTTGGCATTGGTTTCGTCGACATTATATAAACAAAACCCTTCGTCATCGTCCTTATATTCATCATTGTACTTAATTTCGTTAGGCCAGGGTGGCTACAACCCATCGTTGCAGGCATTTGGAGCCAATCAGATCGAACCACAAAACGAGCTGCCCACAATTGAAAATGATCGCGATCCAAATAACAAAAGTTGGTTTTTTCAATGGTGGTATTTTGGGATATGTAGTGGTAGCCTTTTAGGGGTTTCGATCATGCCAAACGTACAAGATTTGGTTGGGTGGGGTCTAGGGTTTGGAGTGTCAGCAATAGTTATGGTTATGTCCATCGGTCTGTTTTTGTGTGGTGGTCGGTTTTATTCATACAGACAACACAAAACCGTTGATATTAACGTTAGCTTTTTCAAAAAGATCATTAGAGCCATCAAAGGTTTAAAATCTTCTGAAAAATCAAGGCTTGTGGAGTTAGAGTAAGTTTGCTACGCTGGATTGTACATTGTGAATCAGTAGTTGTAATTTTTTTTTTGGTAAAATGGCTCATATAATCATGTCACAAAACTAGAAATGGTGATACGTTTTTTCTAATGTTTATTAAGGTTGCGTAACTATTTTCGAAGTTATTCATGTTTTGATTGATGTTACCAAGTTTATTTCCATCGATATTTAATATTTTCCGACAATTCCAACTCCCGAATCAAGGTTTAATTTTTTTGTAATTAATGACATTGATAATGATCGTCCAGGCTTGAAGAAAATCCACTGTTTTTAAAAGAAGACAACAATGGCGTCGAAACTGGATGTTCATCGGATCAGAACTCCGGTAACAGCAATCATCTGTTCAAAATCATGAAAGTGATAATAAGATTACTACCAATCTGGACAACATTACTCATGTTCGCAGTGATTTTCCAACAACCAGCAACATTTTTCATAAAACAAGGGATGACGATGAAGCGGAGCATCGGAAAAAGCTACAACATTCCTCCGGCGACTCTCCAAAGCGCAATCACGATCTCGATCATCCTCTTGATGCCATTCTACGACAAGATCTTCATCCCAATCACTCGATTCATCCTACGCAACGACAAAGGAATCACGACGATGCAGCGGATTGGAATCGGAATGTTCCTTTCCGTCATCGCAATGGTGTTCGCAGCAACTGTGGAGACGAAGAGGCGTGAAGCGTCTGGATCTGGAACTGGACGATTGAGCATCTTTTATCTGTTGCCGCAGTATATTCTGTTAGGTGTTTCAGACATTTTCACCGTGGTAGGGATGCAGGAGTTTTTCTACAGCGAGGTTCCGGAAGAGATGAAGACGATGGGGATCGCGTTGTATACGAGTGTGTTTGGAGTTGGAAGCTTTTTGAGTGCATTAATGGTGTTTTTGGTGGAGCGATTTACAGGGTCGGAAGAGAAGAATGGAAATTGGCTTTCTGATGATATGAGGAAAGCAAGACTTGACAAGTATTATTGGATGTTAGCATGTACAAGTTTTTTAACCTTTTTAGGATTTCTACTCCTTTGTAAATTATACAAGCCAAGTGTTTAAGGAGAATAAATTTTGGGATAACATTGATGGGTTGAGTAGAATGTGAATATTATGACAAATTAAAGCAATTCGATTTGGATGAGTATCTATTTTATAGATAGTTAATATACTAAATATAATTAATGAATAATTACTAGTATAATATTTTTATATTCAATAAAAAGTTTATGTGTTATCCTCTTTTCACCCAAGACAACGATCAAGTAACTTATATAAAACACTGTGGATCTGATCCTCAAAAGCCTTCAAGAAAAACACACTAAGTGTGTGTATATGAGAGAGAGAGAGAGAGAGAGAGAGAGAGAGAGAGAGAGAGAGAGAGAGAGAGAGAGAGAGAGAGAGAGAGAGAGAGAGAGAGAGAGACATCCTAAAAGTCACAACAAATTTTGACTTTTCAAAAATAACCCAAAATTATAATTATTTACAAGACATTGTTTCAAAAGTGTATTTCAATAATCAGAGTATCCTGAAATACAACTAACATAAAATTGAAGGATGTGTATGGTCACACATTCATCTTGTCACGATCATCTAAAGAACCTGAAACAATAAACTGAAATTGTAAGTTAATGTTTAATGAGTTCCCTCAAAGTACCAACACACAACATATACGCAACAAATATTGGGTCCATAACCTTACGGTTGGATTACCCCTGGCCCACAACCTTTCGGTTGGAATGCCCCGACCCACAACCTCTCGATTGGATTGCTCAATACATAACGAGTCTACAACCTCCTAGTTGGATTATCCCTGACTCACAACCTTTCGGTTGGATTGCCCGGTCTATTGATTGTCAGCACAAAGCAGTAGTCTCAACCCTAATATAACATGTCGACAAATAACAATTAATAACATACTTAGCAGCCAAAATGTATAAAATATATATTTTACTTATTTTTATATGTAAAAACATTTTTTATGTATAAAAATGTATATTTTATATATTTATATATGTATAAAAATCGTACTTTATATATATATATATATATATATATATATATATATATATATATATATATATATACTCCCTTCGTCCCAAATTAATAGTCCACTTTTGACTTTTTAACTATTTTTTCTTTAATTTTGATCTTAAATATTTTTATTTGTGTTATATATTACTTGATAAAACTTATAACAATGAAAAAAACATTTAAAATACTATCCATTCATATATTTTGCATCAAATATTATCTATCAAAAATAAAAATATTTAAGGTCAAAGTTGAAGAAAAAAGATTTTAAAACTCAAAAATAGACTATCAATTTGGGAAGGAGTTATATATATATATATATATATATATATATATATATATATATATATATATATATATATATATATATATATATATATATATATATTGTAACGTCCGAAGAACACAACCAATTTAAAATTTTCAAAACAACACGATTTTCATTAAAATGTTCACAAAAAGGTTTTCAATACAATTCATTTAAGTATTCCCAGAATCATGTCGTTACGAAATCATAAGGAGCGGTACGATCGCGCCTTCGCCTTGCCACAGTCTCCTGAAGAACCTGAAAAACATTAAACCACAACTGTAAGCCCGAGAGCTTAGTGAGATACCCCCAAGATACCAACCACGCATACGCCCTTCCAGGCTACGACCTTCCGGTCCAAAACATATAAATCATACATAACATAACAGAACATAGAACAACCATGCATATCGGGTCTAACGTGACTGGTCCGCCGTATCGGGCCTTCAGTCCTTCGGATCCATCCTCCGGGTCTAGTCATGTCCTTCGAGTCTACAGTGGGGTTGGTCCGCCCGCATCAGGCCTTCAACCCACCTGGTCCACTCTCTGAGTCTACAGTGTGACTGGTCCGCCCGCATTGGCCTATAGTCGACCTGGTCCACTCTCCGAGCCTCGGCACGTCTGGTCCGCCCTCATGGGGCCTACAGCCTGTCCGGACCGCTCGCTGGGCCTTCGGAATAACCGGTCCGCCCTGGGTATCTTGGCCTACAGCACAAAGCAGGACCCGCCTCAACCCATCTCCAGTCCAAACAACCATGTGCACCAACATACATTCATATAACAGTCATAATCAGCAAACCGAGTAAACAGATCACATAGCATATCATTACTCTAACCGGGCTACCGACCTACCCGTTCACTAGCATAGCATTACTCTGCATATCGAGAACTGACCTTTACAAGGCCCCCTAGCATGTATCATCCTAACTACCAGGATGCAGACACAACCAACAACAACATGATAAACGTAACTAAATCTCAATACAATAAAGGGCCGGCCTTGGTGCCTTAGACCCTGTTGATATAGTGAGGATAACTCACCTCGAAACTGACGGCTGAAAAGATAAGATCCCGCTGCTTCGAACTCTGACACAACTCCTCCACTGAACATCAACAAAAACCCAATAAATATCCATAATTACCAAAATACCCCTGGAAGACAACTGGTCAACCCTGGTCAAGTCAAAGTCAACCCCTGACTGACCCTACTCGTCGAGTCAACTGATGACTCGCCGAGTCCTTATGCTCAGACTTCCCTCAATTAGCGACCCAACTCGCCGAGTCACCCCAAGACTCGTCGAGTACAACACTCTGAGTCCACTCGCACCCAACTCACCGAGTCGTCCCTCGACTCACCGATTCATCGACTCAACCAGAAATATTGGGACTTCCTTGACAAGACTCGCCGAGTCCAACCGGACTCGTCGAGTCCAAGGCCATCTTCAACCTACTCGCCGAGTTGTTCTTCCAACTCGTCGAGTTCAAGGCCATCTTCAAGCAACTCGTCGAGTCCACCCATGTGACTCGCCGAGTTCCACCGGTCTGAATCCATACAGAAGCATCTCAGGCCATGCAATTGATCCAAAACATAGATCCAGCCTCCTACAATCCAACCATCACGTAAAGTAGCAAACTTTACGTGAATCAAACGAGATCTAGGCCATTTCCACCTTAAAACCAAGGTTTGGGACATGATAGCTTCATTCATAGCACAAAGGTTGGGACTTTAATGCACTCAATGACTTCTCCACTCCAGATCTGAGGTAGCAACCTCAGATCCATCCTCCAACACCAAAATGTCACACAACCAAGCATCCCACACAACCCCAAATGATGAAACTAGGAATGCACAGCTTAAGGACGAAGATATTACCTCCAAAAGATGCCTCAATAACAGCTAAACACGAATCCAAGCAAAGCCCTTTGATCCAAACCACCTCTCCTTCAAGATTTCTCCAAGCAACACCTCTCCAAGTTCCAATTTGCTCCACCAATGCTCTTCTCCACGAGATTAGGGTTTCTGGAACTCAAGGGGGGAATAAGAGAGGCTGTGGAGGGGTATAATGTTCTTTATATAGGGCTCAACCCCGGAAATTAGGGTTTTCTTCATACAGCACCTACTCGCCGAGTCCACCTTTGGGACTCGCCGAGTAGGCCACTAGACACGCGACCCAACTGCGACCTGACTCGCCGAGTCCATCCATGGACTCGCCGAGTCACCCTCTAAACTTACACTTCCAGCCCTTCAATTCTACTCTTGCGATTCCGGGATGTTACAATTCTCCCCCACTTAAATTAGGCTTCGTCCTCGAAGCCTTCGGCATCTCATCTTCAATTTACTTCCCACTATGCGCCACTTGACCTTGACCGAACCAAGTCCCTCAAAGTACAACCATAGAACCAGAAGCTCACTTTCTCCTTCCATACGGTGTTCCCCACCATCTACTCGAACCGGCACCCCCTGTACCCTCCGATAACCACACTCAACAACCGAGAATTACCCATGATGCCTTACTGCTCCAATTCTCATCTTTCACTTGACTCACATGGCTATAAAGCCACGCACCCTCGGATTCCCGATCCGAATTCCACTCTACCCTTACCCTGACGACCGAAGGACCCATTCTTCCATTTCGGAGCAACTCCCCCGAGTTCTCCTATCGCAATCACACATACATGCTGATCTAGCTCTGGCACCCTCAGGTGCGGATAACCTGATATACAGACGATATCCTCAACATCCTTCCAGGATAAACCACCGATACATACCCAGAACCCTGATCATGATCTCACTGAGAGTCCAAGACTCTTGCTCTGCATCCCTTCCGAACTCCCCTCCCTGACTCCACGTTGCGATATTCCCTCTGCGCCCAAAGCAACATATCGAGTCGAATAAGCTTATATTCCGCCGCCTAAACACACTACTCAAAGATCATCGACGGACCACAGTGATCGCAACTCCACATTGCCGCTTTCACTTCCGTGAATTCGCTCTCCCTTGCCGGAGTTTCATTCCTCCCTCTTCCCTTACCAAGGAAACCACTCGTCTGCCCGCTCATCATGACAGGCACCCTGGTGCCCATCCTGCGCCACATTACCTCCCTACAGCGCACTAAACATCCATGCGCTACCGCTACTCTGCCTCTCATCACAAGGGCTCTCAAGCCCATGCACTACCTTTACCGCTAATGATCGCTTGCCGGGGCCAGACCTCCCAATGTATTCCCACTGCAACATACGCAACCCATAACCTCCAACCGATCCAACATTACCCGCAGAGTCTTCAGCATGACTGGACCGCCTCCCCGGGCCTTCAGTCAATCTGGACCACTCTCAGAACCTTCAGCCAATCTGACCGGACCGTCCTCCGAGCCTTCGGCCTGACTGGTACGCCTACCGGCCTTCAGTCTACCCGGACCGCTCAACAATCACTCATCATTCCGAACTATCTCTTCAGGAAATTCTCCCGTGCGTACCGTTCTAGCCTCTAGGGGTTCCGAACTCTATCTCCATCATACGTACTCGATCCCGGCCTGCCCCCATGCCTTCCTCAATCAACTGCTCTAGGTCTGTATTTCGCCCCCGCACACCTATTGCTCACCCATACGAGCCTGCTCTCAACTAATAGAAATACCGCTGAATTTTCCCAAGCAGCTAAACAACCTCTCAGGCCCATCGATCACCGGAGAATTTCCAATTCTCCCCCACTTAAGACACTGAC